GTTTTGCATTTGCAAATATACCAAATAGCAAGATTATTGTTAAATTTTGAGAATGCATCTAGAACTGTTTCCCACATGAATTTTGTGAAGGCGTATATTATATCTAATCTAATATAATCTAACAATATATAAAAAAATCAAAATCAAAGTTCTTTTATATAACTTGGTAGTCCCTCCACTTACTTTTTTTTTAAAACTTTTTTATCTTTATTTTTTTGAATTCTTTTTGCATGATAATTTTTTTGTGTGTTTTTTAAAAATACTAGTTTTGTAATGTACTCCGCACGTATTGCCATATTAAAAACACCGGAAGAGTTTATTGTATCCAATAATGAGAAGTCATTTATACACTCATTTTTAAGGAATTCTGAATTTATTTAAAAAAAAGAATACGTGTAAAGATAACAATTGACAAAAAAAGGGCACATTTGAAGTAAATTATTTTAACCAATCAAAAATAAAATAAGAACACATGTCAAAAAAAAAAACTTAAAATGTAAAAAAAAAAAATTTCACAAAAAATAAAGATAATAAAAAATATTAAAAAAGGAAAATAAAAAGTAAATAGAGGGGCTGTCACGCAAAGAAGAGTTTTGGCTCTTTAAATTTCGTTATACGTATTGTAAATTTCATTAATAAAACTATTCAAAATATTTTAGAAAGCCATGAAATAGTACCTAAATATTATTGCTTTATTTTCGAATGCTAATATTTCGTATGTCCTTTCGTATGTCGTTACATGCGGGATGTAACTAAAGTATAAAAATTATACTAATGTTGATTTACTAGATTTATTAGAAAAATGAGGACATTTTGTAAAGAGTCACATTCAAATGTGACAAATTGTGTATAAATATTAATTGAATAAATTTGTTTATTCGTATTAATGTTACTATAATATTTGTTTGTATTTGAGAACGTGAATTGTAGTCAAAACACATGGGATTAAAAAGGCTACTCGTGGAAAAACGTAAAAAACATAAATAATTTTTTTGGTGCAGTTTTTTTATTTAAGGACGATTTTCAATGTATACATTTTAGACAATAATAAAACCGTCGTCTAATATCCCCTATGTGTGCCAAAAACAAATGTTATTGTCAAAATTACACAACAATTTCTTGAATAACCGTTGTCTAATGTTTCAATTTAACGATGGTTATAAACCGTTATGAAATGTCTCAGCACTTTAACAACTGGTAATACAATGACGGTTATGATAATTGTCATAATAATTTATACGACGGTTAATAATCATCGTTATATGTTACTATTCTACTAGTGTTTGGACATTGTGGTCAAAGTGAACGGTGCTTCGATGATGAGCGTGAACTTCGATGGTGGAGTAGGGATCCAATGAGAGAGGGAGAGCCTTTTCGCATAGAAGAAGGCCGTCAAGCTTTGGACGTTGTGGTCAATGTGAATGACGCCTCAATGGTGAGCATGAACTTCGAGAGTAGAGTAAGGATCTAAGGAGAGAGAGGGAGGGAGGGAAAGATAGAGCGAGAGAGAGAGAAAGGGGGAGGAAGGGAGAGAGACAGGCGCGGAGTCAAAACCTTAACAGTAGAGGCTTAAGCCCCCGCTCAAAATCTTTTTTCCTTTTAAATTTCATATATATAATTAGACACTATATTATATTAGTATTAATAATTAATGTTAATATCTCATTTGTAGTGCATTAATAAATATTTATTTTGATTAAATTTTTTATTTAGATATTAGCCCCATTGACAAAAAGTTTTAATTCCGTCAATGAAGAGAGACACATTAACATGTTGCTTTCAACTATTATCCACCTTATATTCCTTTTCCTTGTGTTTTTCTCTTTACTAAACTAACCACTCTATCATTCTTGATCTGATTTCTGATGGTTCATTAGTATTGGAGCTATAATTTAAATGATTGCCACTTGTCGCATCTAAATCTTTTCGGAGAGACATGACTTTTTCACATAATTTATAAATCTATTATAAGTATATTCCCTGCATCTCTCGTTTATTGTGACGGAACGATTCGAATCAAAGACTTATCACGGCCACGGAGAACGAGCTATCTTATTATCCTAGCAAATAACAAGTGATTCCATTAAAATCCATAATTTGATTCGCATAATTAGTGAGATATACTTTGATATATTACGTATTTGTTTCTTACATAATTCTGATGGGGTATTAATTGTGGAATTTTTAAAAATATCTTTGTAACGTTACATTTAATAAAAATAAATATTAGGATCCAGATGACTAGTGAGACTATAATGGAGTTATTTGTGAAGATAATCTCTGAACATTAGTTAATTATCATTGTTATCTTCAGCCTTTAAAAAAAAGTTATCCTTTTTGGTCATTAATGTAATAAAAAATTAATTCCTACTGAAAATAAATAATTTAAAGTGACGTGAGAATGATTGGTGGCTTGGTTCGGACAGCCGCATTTTTCCCTCATACGTGATCTCATCCTACAAGGCAAATGACACCTCCTCTTTCCCCTTACCGAACTTCACAAAAATACCCTTTCCTACTTGTTTGATGCATTTCAGTATCGATTGTGTCTCTTAGGCATATTCTTTTGTCTAAAAAATTCAAAAAAAGATAATTTAAGTTTTAATTTTATTTAAGTTCACATTCTTTTAAATTTTAACTTTATTTAATTTTACTTAACTTTATTCAAATTACAACTTCAACTCAAGTTATAACTCAAATTCAAAATTACACTCAAGTTACACTCCAAAAGAACAACCCCTAAGTATTTAAGGGCTTGTTCTTTTGGAGTTTAACTTGAGTATAATTCTTGAGTTGAATTTGAGTTATAACTTGAGTTGAACGTGTAACTTGAGTTTGTGTTTGAGTGAGTCAAAATTTGAATTTGTATTTAGATAGTATTTTAATAAAAACTCAATGCTGATGAAAAATTTTAATAGAGTATATGGGTCGGGTTTTATTCGTCTTTTCGTTGTCAACGCATAGAAAAAAAATCATCTCAATCAGAAATAAAACGAAAAAGTTATAGCATTTTTAAGAACAGAAAAAATATTATTCATTAATTTGAGTTCGAGTTTCTGAACTCGAGTTGAAGGGAAAACTTGAACTCGAGTTTTAGTCATAAACTCGAGTTTGAACTCGAGTTTAAACTTAAAAGAACATGAACTCGAATAAAGTTGTAACTCGAGTTGCATTTTTTTGAGTTTTTCACTCAAAAGAACAAGCCATAAGTATTGAGTAAAGTCTCCAAGTACCGAATTAGAACGACACATGTATATTTTTTTAAAAAATATATATATTCTTTTAAAATATGCACATAAGTGTTTAGACAAATTATAAGTGTCTTCCCACATTATATATATTTTAAGAAAAAATATACATATTTTTAAGAAAAAATATACATGTGTCACTCCAATCCAATACGAAATTGGAGACTATTCCGTATTCGTATATTTTAGTAATTTGTGAAAAATAATACACCGTAATTTTATAACAATCTTAACAAACACGTAATTAGCCTGTTGTATAGCCTACCGTCAAGAGTCCGGTAAACATAACTCAGAGCAACTACAGTCTACAAAAACCTTCTTACATTTTCCACTTTACTCACAAATTATTCATACTTCTAGATTCTTTATTCAATACAATATGACTTTATTTTCTTTAATCTATTTTGCAAGAGTTTTGGTCGAAATTAAGCATGAAATGATGATTTTACTCTCAAATTAGATAATTAATGAGTGCTAATTAGAATAGGGTTTTCATCCTTAATATCCTATGTTAAATACTAAACTACAAATGCATGTGATGATGAAATAACATTTTTTTGCTCAGATTTTGTAATAATTTACATATATTAATGATTTTTTTTAGCGAATGACATATATCTATGAGTTTATCATCTATCCAATTCAAACCGTTCATACAAAATGAACCTACCAAGCCAAAGACAAAGAGGCAAACAGCTCAAATAAATAGAATGTAAACAAAGAACAACCATTGATTGTTTCTAATTTGTACATTCACAAAAAAGAATGAGGTCCTTGTTCTCTACTTTATTTCTTTTTCCCCAAAATTGACACATTTCCAACTAGTACTGGAACTACGGGCGACGGGTCTGGCCGAAACTAGAAACTTTTCAGGCTCAGTGAGCAGGACCCTATGTCCGTCAATCCAAGTTCCAGGTCGAGTTTGGACTCAGGCAGCCCAAAAATCAACCAAAAAAAGAAGCCCACCGTCGTTGAAAGCCCATTGCCTGAATCTCGCCGTATTGCTTGCCCGATTGTCCGCCGAGTGGCCCGCCCGAATGCCCACACCGAGTGAAGTGTTTGATTTAGTACAAATTTAAAATTAATAAACAAAACAAATTCTTTGAATTGTTTTAATAGTGTGTTAATTTTAATCTTAATTATAGTTTTTATATAATTTTTACAGTAAATAACTTAATAATTATTTATGTACAAATACAATTAATAAACAATATTATATATAATATATATATACACAATATTATACAAAACTAAAAATTATATAAATATATAAATATAATTAATTTTCGGGCGGGTTCAGGTTGCCCAATTGGGCTCCGGGCAGCCAAGACAAGGCCCGCGTCCGGTACAAGGTAAATCTCAGGCTCGGGCGGGCGTCCTGAATTTCTCAAACATACAGGTTCAGTTATCAGTCACAAGTTTAATTTTTTCATACGGTCACGGGCAGCCCGTTCTAACACTATTTCGAACTCCTAATTGTCCAAATAATTAATGCCCCAACACAAAGTACTATTTGTATTATTATTCTACCTCATGTTATTATAAATATATTATAACTTTACAGTCGGAGCACCACATTTTAACGCACTATCTAAATTAGACGGCACTTATAAAGTGAATGTGATGCTGTATTTAGATTTAAATCTCATAACCATTAAAACCCTTTTTATATATACATACAATTTTGTAATAAACGAAGTGAAATTAAAAAAAAATAAAAAAGATGAAAAAAAAGCAATTCTTCGGCGAAGTTCGGCCACTCATGACTCACCCACCCAACCAAACACCCAACTCCCAGTTCCCACCAACCTCTCTTATTTTTTCTCGCTCTCTCTCTCTCTCCACCAATTAGCAAAAGCCTGAAAATTCTCGGATTTTCTCGCACTCTTTCTCGCCAGTAAAACAAACGTAGAAAAATCATGGCTCGGAAGAAGATCAGAGAGTACGATTCCAAGAGGCTCCTCAAGGAACACCTCAAGCGCCTCGCCAACATCGATCTCCAGATCTGCTCCGCCCAGGTTCCGATTCCTCTACCTTCCACGTGCATGTCTCGTTTCCGTCTCATTTTCTGGGAAAAATTACCCAATCAAGATTTTCAACCTGAGAAAAACTGTCTTGTGAATTGTTCAGGTGACGGAAGCGACGGACTTCGCCGAGCTGACGAATCAGCAGCCATGGCTTTCGTCCACCAGGCTGGTTGTGAAGCCGGACATGTTGTTCGGGAAGCGTGGGATGAGCGGTCTGGTGGCTTTGAATTTGGATCTTGCTCAAGTTGCCGACTTTGTCAAGGCACGCCTAGGAAAAGAGGTGATTGTTATTAGATCGAACTTCGAAGTATAATTTCCGATTCAACAGGAAGAGATTTAGCTGTTTTGTGCATAATTTTGTTCAATTTTGTTTTGTGATGATTGAATTACTATGATTTTTTAGGTTGAGATGGGTGGTTGCAAGGCACCAATAACGACTTTCATTGTTGAACCGTTTGTTCCTCATGATCAAGAGTATTACCTTTCAATAGTTTCTGAAAGGCTTGGTTCGACTATTAGCTTTTCGGAATGTGGGGGTATTGAGATTGAAGAGAACTGGGATAAGGTATGCCAGTGTGGTGGCAAGGCAATCTCATTTTTCTGATCTTTAATCTGATTTTTTTCCCCTATCTTCATTATAATTTGTACAATTTTGAGAACCTATTGATAGGAATAAGAAAAGTATGATAAAACAGTTCAGAAATGTGCTTATTTATAGAGAGAGAGTGTGTGTGTGTGTAACAAGAGAATTCTATTGTATCTGTCATTTTTTATGGAACTTGGTTTAATTTTATGAGTACTTCAGGTTAAGACTATATTCCTTCCCACTGAGAAACCAATGACGGCGGAGGCATGCGCTCCATTGATAGCTACTCTTCCGTTGGAGGTAGGTTTACATATTACTATTTTCTTTTATGCTTGCGTAAAGATCTAGAATGTGTTTTACTATGTCTCTTTAGATTTTTGAGATAACAAAATGAATATTATGTTAATAACAGATGTGAAATTGGAGGTTCTTCAACGTGCAGTTATATGTGTAACTTCTCTCAATCTAAATTGTCCTAATTGTCTAAATCTATCATTGGTGGCGCTTGTTAAACCTGCAGTCATTTTGATTTGTTTTGAGAACTTGAGAGAAAAAGTGACTGAGGGTTAAATAACTCGAATAAGAAGCTAACTTAGTTATATATCAAACAACTACTTCTGTAGCCATTTTAACTGCTATCCAAATGAATTTCCGTTGTGACATAACCAAATCATTTCTTTTGCTACGAACATAACCAAAGCATATGTTTCCCCTTTTACCGCTAATAGTTAAACATTTTTGGAGCTTTGGCATTTCGCGTGAGTTAGAGTGACGATCATTCTTTATTTGCTTTATATCATTCTGGTAGAACTTGACAATACATAACAAAATTGATAGAAACTGAGAAGAATCAGAAATGACAGTCTTTATTCCAACTCAATTGGATTTACAGAAATGCTAGGCTTTTGAGAGGCCTAACTCTCTCCCCCAAACAATCTAGATAAATTCCTTGCTTTTCCTAAAGCTAAAACTCCTATTCATATTTGTTTCCCACTATTTCCCTTCTAACAAACTCTGCCACGTTGGCACTTAACACCAATACCCAACAGACTCCAGTAACTAACCACTAACTGACTTCCCCTTATTTCTCCTTGCATAAGTAAACCATATAGGCGGCTTATCAATACCCCCGGGCCAAGAGTCACCTTGTCCTCAAGTTGAAAAGTAGGAAACTGTTGTTGCAAAACATCATACGGTTCTCACGTAGCTTTAAAATCAGGCAAACCTTTCCAATGGACAAGGAGCTCAGTGCTATGGGATGATCCAGGTGCACTAGAACGGATGCCAAGAATCTCCTCTGGTTCCACCAAAAGCTCCAAATCAAATTGTAATTGAGGAAAAGTATTAGAGTTACACTACTTTTCCACATAACTCTAGCCATTTTGTAGTTGCAGCAAGGAATTGCACTGAGTAGATGCAAGCAACATTGATTCCGTGTCTAGAGAGAGAACCTCCTTCTCTCTAGAATTTTAGGGGTCAAGGGGTTCTTTATGTTTTGGTTAGCATGCCTTCTTTAGATCTAAATCGATTTCATCATGAATTTCGTATAGGATCTAAACTTTACAAAGTTTATATAGATGGTTATGGGAGTTTAGTGAGATCAGAAGAATCAAATTCTAGAGCAAAATTTTCCATTTCTTATTTCTTGGATGCGGCTACATGGTTGTGTCAAACGTTGGAAGTTATATGCAAGGTTCAGACAACGATGGCTTCAAGAAGAAATTCAACGGATCACAATACGTACTGATGGTGGAAGTCTTGAAGAATTCCAAGGGAGAATACTTGAAGATCACGAAGGTTAATTTAGGGCTAGTTAGAAGCATTATGCTTATGGGAAATAGTCACAAAACTGGTTGGAGGATATTGATGAACAAAATGAACAGGTTGCTGGGAAGAGCCTCCTTTTTCAGAGGAGCCACCATGAATGTTGAGGAAGATTTTAAACCTGAGGTGAGGAAGGTAATAAGACCAAGAGTTGATAATCAGGTTCAGAAAAACTCAAGAATACAATAGTTAAGGCTTCATTAGCAACATAGTTGAAGGCCTCTACCAGTTGGTAACCAAAATATTGTTCAAGTGGAGTTTGGTGATTACGCAAAAAGAGTAGGATATTGTTGGGTTTCAAATGATGTCCTGCAGTATAACGAGTTGGAAAAAAGGGAGGTAAACAAGGTATTGGACGTTTTCAGAGATTGTTTGGAACATCAATGGTCTGAGATAAAAAGGGGTTTCGTTTCATGCTTCACAGGCAGAATCAGGTTTCACCTCTGGCGACAGATAGAGCAGTCCTATGGTGCATAGACAAGGATGAAAAGAGGAAATACTAAAAAACAAGAGGCTGTGGTTGGAAAAAAGATTTTATGTCACTGTCAAAAGATGGAGCCCGAAGATACACTGGAAGGATTTAAAGATTCCTGCACGTTTGAGTTGGATTGGAGTTGAAGGTCTCCCTTTCACATGAGAAATCGACACGTTTGTAAAGTGATAGGGGAGAAACTAGGGGGCTTAATCAACATAGCATAGTGTTCTCTTAATTTTAGCTCCATCCCATATGCGATGATTCAAGTCCGAGGTCTACAAAGTGGTTTTATTCCATCAATTATGAGAATTTTATGCTGTGGAAAGGAGATTCAAATCTCTACGTTCAACTTAAATAGAGATTTCATGCCACAGATTTCAGAAAGTTAAGAGGAATTGGCTTGAGGGAGGCAGCGGACGAGGAAGATGAAGATGACGTGGAGAACATGCAATCAATAGCGGGGCGAAGTGGTAATCTTTGCGTGGCTGGCGTGGAAGATAATCTGGAGAAACATTCGAGGAAGGCGAAGAGTCTTGGTTTGGAGGAGAAAAAGCAAGGAAGTTTTCGAGAAGGTTATCATGAAGGAGAAGCTTCTGGACAACACGTGCATAATAGATTTAATGCTCTGAACTGGATAGATGAGGTATGCACGGAAGACGAGGAGTCTGGAGTGATGTTTGATAATTTAGTCACACCATATGCTATTAGTAGGACTATCTAAGAACCTATACAGTTAGGGTTGCAACATGGGCCAGACTCTAATTGGGCTCTTAAAGCTAATTCGGTCTCAAGAGAGTCGGAGGATGAGGGGGAAAAGCTTAACCTTAGTCAAGAAACAGGACAGAAGAAGGACTGCAGTGGAAATTTGAGCAATACAGGGACAAAGGTGCTTAGAATTGAAGGGAAAGAGCCTATTATCTCTCCTTTGGCAATGGATTACAGCGAGGTGGTTAGACTTCAGTTGGAGAAATTATCAGGCTGTCTATTGCGTATTGTGGAAGTTGTTAGTATTAGTTAGTAGCTTTGCTAAGAAAGATTGTTAGAGGGAAAAATGTATAAAAGGGGGCGAGAGGAATAGAAGTGGTATCGGGAAATAATCAGAGGGTTGAACAAATCTTGGAGACATTCCAAGTAAGGGGAGGAAGCAGACCCTCGAAGTTTTGTAGATTGGTGTGTTTGTGTAGACATTAATATAGTTCCAAAGTTGATTCTTTTCTTCATTCTTTCAATCTTTTCTTGATTTTGTCCCAATCGGATCAGCTCTTATCATTTGGTATCAGAGCATCGTTTCTAGGTGATTATGGCGGCTAGGAAAACGGAGGAGAGATTTGAGGCGGTGGAGAAGGAGATTCAACAAGTCAAAGCTTCAGTGGAGAAAAGAATCGGTGAATTTAGGGCTGTGATGAATCAAAATTTTGCCGATGTCCGTTAGAATCTTGCTGAATTGCGTCGTCTGATGGAGGAGCAAATGAAGCGTTTGAGGCTGACGGCGAAAGCTAAGCTGCCGGCGGAGGATTCCGGTTCAGGCGCTGTCGGGGTTCGGGAAGGGGGAACTAGTTCGGGTAAGGAAGTGGGTCGCGGGTCGAAGGCCGGAGCAGAGGGAATTGAGCAAGGAGTTTTGGCTGAACCTAAGGTTTTCGGACTTAGAGATGCTGACCGGAATCGTGAGGAACCGCACAAGGGAGGGCAGATCAGACGACCGCCAAGGGAGGTGACTGTTCGTGAGGAGGAACCGCGCAACGGAGGGGACGATCTCGACCTGAATCTGTCCGATCTGCAACGAAATTAGCAGATCGGCGCCGGTTGGGGCTTAGGAGGCCCAGTTCCACGACGAGAAGGGCCGATTGGTGCCAAATTCGGCTTGAGGAAGGTGCCGGAGGTGGCGAACGACAATGAGGGGCATTTGGATTCGCGAGTTGGGGGTCAGAATGGCTGGGATCTGCACCGTGAGGTGCAGATCGGCAACGAACTGGTTTGGGTGAGGCTGATCTTGGTCAGAATCGGACAAACGCAACAGGGAGGACAGATCGGAGGTGTTTTAGGGGCGGAGGCCTTAGATCTGCTTCTAGGGGGGGTTGGGGTTCTGGGTTTTGGGGAGTTTGACCGAAACCGCGAAGACCCATGGTGCGAGAGGCTGAACGGAGGCAGAAGGCAGTCGGAAGGGGGCTGGTTACCTCAGGAGATGATGATGGGGATTGGGCTGAGATCGGTGATGGAACGACGCCCATGGGATGCGGCGATTGAGGTTGGTTCTCGTGGTTACGGTGTGGGCAGGGTTGATTTTTGCATGTTTGGGTTTGAGCTGCGTAAGTACTGACCCAAACTAGGGATGAAAAATTATCTGTTTATATTTCGTATTTTGAATAATTACATAGTTAAGTATTTATAGAGTTTACATAGAGAGAAAATAGGAAAGGATATCTACCACAATCCCTGAAAATCAGGAATTGTTAAAACTAATTTTCCTAATTGATTTACAGCCTAAAATACCTCTCGACACTCCCCCTCAAGCTGAGGAATGAATATCTTCCATTCCCAGCTTGGCTACAATCTCATGAAAATTAGAACCATATAATCCTTTTGTTAGAACGTCAGCCAATTGACCTACCGAAGGAACATAGGACATACATATGAGTCCTTCTTCCAACTTCTCTTTGATGAAGTGCCTATCAATCTCAATATGTTGTCCTATCATGTTGAATAGGATTGTGAGCGATGTTGATTGCTGACTCGTTGTCGCAGTAGAGCTTCATAGGTTCTTCCCACTTGACTCTCAAATCCTCTAGAATAATTTTCAGCCAAAGTAGTTCACACATCCCTTGAGCAACAGCCCGAAATTCAGCTTTTGCAGATGATCTAGCCACAACATTCTGCTTTTTGCTCCTCCATGTTATCAGATTACCACAAAGAAATGTACAATAGCTAGTTGTTGATCTTCTATCCACTATAGAACCGGCATAATCTGCATCTGTATATGCTTCTAACGTCAAAACAGAGTTCC